TTCTCTTGTGTCACAACACTTGCGAGTTGCTATGGACTAACCGGTTAAGAACCGTATTTCTAAGATAATGGTTTCCCCAAATTTAGTATTGGAACCAAAAGCTCAGACGCTGGTTTGGATGGAGCGCCAGAACATAAAACTATATTAACTAGGTAGTTGTCATTAAATCGAAACAATCGATAACTAGATTTATTCCATTTGTGGTAGGTACTGGACATTGCAAATTATTTGACAGCAATGTTAAATACATTTTAGGCACCACGCCCTAGATCAGACATTTTCGCAACTCTCGATCAGTATACAATCCATGCGATAAAAACATAATAGCACATAACCAGTCATGTGCTCTAGTTGCCTCGATTCAACAATTCAATATTCTTGGCACATTCTGAGGCTTGGCATATATGGTGTTCAAGTTTGCACCCTAAGACAAGCTTCTGGTAAATGCCTACCATCGTTACCGCCTTGTATAGTTTTCAACTGTAGCTACAATTATCTGATTACCCTATAATAAAGATCCTTATTTTACAGTCAAATAGAGCACAATTTCTGAAGAATTTAGGACAAATTTCGGAAATTTACTTTTACGTATAAGTTGGTTCTAGTCTGGGTTTTCTGGGAAGTGTTGGTTCTAGTGTGGGTTTCTTGAGTCGAGGCGAATTCCGTTTGGTAGCCATTGTATTATTATATTATAGATTAATTTTATACTCACATTAGTACTAGACTACGATTGTTTAACAAAAGTTCCTCAATTTGTGAACGCAGCAATCTATCGCCTTATTGGAATTTAAAAAAAGGCGTGAGTGAAGTGATGTATAATTTTTAAAAGGAGGAAGAGACGTTCGCGCTCACCCCGCGCGGTCGCTGACAGAGTCCGTGGCGGCCGCCGCGGGGTCGAAGAGCGGAGCGCAGCGGCCGCGTGCTTCTAACTGAATTTGCAAAATACGCTCTATTTGTTTATGTGCTTTTACGTTTTAACTTATGAGCGTCCCGGGCACGCTGGCGAGACTGGCTTGAATTTGACCTACGCGACGGCCCGCGCGGCGGCCACGCAGTTGTATTATTCAGAGGAATTTAAATATTGTCGCCTAGTATATAGGATTCAGATTCGCCATTAATGTACATGAAGGCATGGTAACTGAGCGGTCGCCGCGCTTCGCCCATTGAAATAACAAAGTAATAACGTTAAATCCTTCTCCTGTGAAGATACGCGCTTTTTACCAATACTACATGCGCGGATTTCCACTATCCCCAACGATTTGTAGAAATAATAGTTATCACTATAGTGTTGCAGTGGTTTGCGCCTTTGCATTGTGATTCTAGAAGCAGCAAGCAATTAAAGTATCGATTCACATGTGTCATTGTTTTGTTTTACTTCGTAAATTTCCGTCTTTTTACTTCATATAATTATAATAACAACAACAATAACAGCAACAGCAGCAGCAGCAGCAGCAGCAGCAGCGGCGGCGGCGGCGGCAGCAGCAGCAGCAACAACAACAACAATATAAAAAAAATATTTAAATATAATAATAATATTGTATTTATTCTCTCCCACAGTGAAACTTCTATCTAGTACATATACAGTGTATACTTTTTATTGTGGAAGACTGGTACTCAAACTAGGTAAACCCTGTATTATGAGACACCAGGTCTCCCTTTGTGGAACAAATTTGAGTAAAGTTAAAACTACTACATAAATAGTTAAGTTAACATATAAGCAAAGAACAAACAGCAAAATACAGCCCGTCTTAAAATGTGGAATGGATATATGTAAAGTTATGTGATGTGTGTTGGTGTGTGTGCGTGTGTGTGTGTGTGTGTGTGCGTGTGTGCGTGCGTGCGTTCGTGCGTGCTTGAGTGCGTGCGTGCGTGCGTGCGTGCGTGCGTGCGTGCGTGCGTGCGTGCGTGTGTGTGTGTGTGTATGTGCGCCTGCGTGCGCGTAACACTTCACCTAATTTATATAATTCGCCGGAGGAAACAAACGTGGCTTGTGAAGACAAATTTTTAACGCCCTTTCCAATGGAAGTAACTGTGACATTGACGCGCCACCCCAAGCTGTTATGTAGTAAGAAAGGATAGACTGACAAAGGGCAACATAAATGTTTTTCAGGAGATTTGTCTCAACAACATTTCTCAAATGTCTGAAGACATAAGCTAATCTCCTCACTTTGGAAGTAAGATCATTGATATGTTCCTCAAATGTCAGATCTTTGTCTATTATGACCCCAAGATATTTGATATTGTCTGTTCGCTCAATAGAGATGTAGTTGTCCGAATAAGCTCCTGAGATATCATTGTGACAGCTGTGAGTTATGATTTTATAATAAGCATTACCAGGGAAATGTGGATTGCGAATCGAGAAAGGAACATATTTGGTTTTACAAGCATTAAGGGTGAGAGAGTTTACTGTCAGCCAATGGCATACCTTTTCAAAACTCTGCTGTGCAAGTTTAAAAACGTTGGGCCAAGTGTCACTATAAAAAGTAAGTGTAGGGTTGTCAGCATACGATATAATTTTACAGTTGTCTATATTTAACTGGCACAGATCGTTAATATAACATAAAAATAATGTAGGGCCTAAAATGCTACCATGCTACCCTAAGGGACACCACAACTTACGGGTTTCTCTTCACTCTCAATGTTCTCAATTTTTTACGCGTTGGGTACGGTTAGTGAGATAATGTTTCACTAAACGCAACTGGTTGCCCCTAATTCCCATACTTTCCAATTTAGGTAAAAGGTCAACAAGAGACAGTGTCAAACACCTTCATCAAGTCAAGAAAAATCATTAAACATTTCATTTTTTTATCAAATTTTTTACTGATAAAGTCCGCAAATTCCTAGACAGCATCAGCAGTGGATCTTCCCACCCTAAAACCATACTGACCTTCCGATAATAACTTTTTATTTTCCAAATAGCTAACGAGGCGCTTATTTATGATTTTTTCCAGAATTTTAAATAATGAAGGCAAAATGGAGACAGGTCGATAATTGTTTACACTGTCTTTTGCCCCATTTTTGTGAATCGGTAAAACTATCGACTTTTTTAGCGCGTTCGAGAACATACCTTCCGTTAAGCAACGATTTAAAAGAAGAGGAATTGTTGGAGTTATAATACTTTGAATAGTTTTTAGGTCTTTAGCTGAAATACTGTCATATCCAGCAGATGTATCCTTTAGGAAATAAATGAGTCTTTCTACTTCCTCAGGTTCCTGCAACAGTACAAATGGTAGTAAAGTATCAATTGCATTCCATAACTTTTTATTGTCATTTTTAGATAAATTTATTTGATTTTGTTCATAATTTCGTTTAACTTTTTTAAGTATATTGTTACAAAAATTTCGACACCGTTTGAAAGTAATTTTTAAGTTTTCATTATTAGATTCGTTTTTAATTTTCTTATGCATTCTATCTCTATTTTTCATACATTTTAAAACTCCTACTGTGATCCATGGCTTGAAAGTAATTTTATTACTCGCTATATTTGTTTTTATTGAATTGCTTAAAATTAAATTTTGGATTTATGTAATGAAATAATTTGTGGCGCAATCAATGTCATGTGCATTATAAATTTCTGTAAAGTAATTTTTTTACATTCATCAAGGAGATTGACATATTTTATCTTAGTGACAAATTATTTGTAAGTCGATTAGAATTTTCTTTTACTTTTAGACAAAAGAGGATTGATTCGTGATCAGTTATCGAAGTTTGAAGCATAAAAGTTTTCGTTTGTAGTTTAGTTTTGACCATTGTATGATCCAGACAGCTTCCGTTTCTAGTGGTATTGTTATAAATGGGAGTCAACCCATGAAAAGTCAGTTGACCCAAA